TGCCGGTCACAGGTGCTGGCCAAACGTTAGGAAACAAAACTTCCAGAACATGGCCACACAGCCCGGAAGACCCACACCAGCCAATCTTCCTAACAGTTTTGGATGCTCCTGCTCTTTCTATGACAAAGGCACATTGGCCTACTTTTTCACAGGAAAGACAAGATATCAGTTGAATTATTATTGTTGTTGTTGTGAGCTTCTTCTTTAAGCCTTCTTCAGAAAGACTGCGCCCATCAAAGAAGCCTCTGGTGTCTTCCAGTGTTCTCAAGATAACATAGCTAGCTCTTCTCACTCACTTTCATCCCCACAACAACCATATTGGGTAGATTAGGTCAAGAGAGCATTTCTTCCCAGACATTGTGAGGAACTGAGGAAGGTTAGTATTAACTACATTGAGATCAGGAATCCAATACAATAAGGATAATTGATTACACGGAGGACAGTAACAGTCATAGATCAAATGTGGTTAATAACATTCCCTGCCAGTGCAGAGATATCTTGGAGATGAAGACAGAACACATATCCCAGCTCCCAATTATAGTTCCCTTTTTAATAGGATGACTGATCTAAGATCAATCCCCAAGCTTAATGGGGTGTATAAAACATTTTGAATTGGAAACATTTTGATCTTGAAAAGCCCTACTTTTAAGTCAATACAGGGTTGCATTAAGCTCAGAATAGCATCAAACACTCCTAGTGTTGGAACAGCTGTTTTGGATTCAAAGCAGTGTGTTATGAGCTTGTAAAATTTCAAATTCAAAATGTTTTGCACACTACTCTTGGTCAGGGAGTTGAATCCAGCCTTCCCAGTATTTTAATGATAAATATTTTAGAACTTTCAAACACAAGTTTGAAAGATTTGTAGGTTATTTACTGTGTTCTGGACATAACACTAGTCTGTTCTGAAGTTTATTGATCAATGAGATCAGAGTCCATGAGCAGAAGATCATTATTCTTAATTGCAGAAGATTTTAGGGACACCTAAGTATTTCTCAAGTGTATTTGGAAGACTTATAAAGATTCAGTAGCAAGGAGATGACTTGCATGGCACATTGACAGCTGGATACTAGGTGGAACAATGAGGTTGTCTCATCTTAGCTGTTTTAGGAAACAGCTTTAGTTATCATTCTGAGCTTTCCAGACTGGTGGTAGTAATGGCTGCCTCTCTGAGGTGGCTTTTATTGAGTTTCCAGTCCCTGCACCCCCAAAAATGCCACTTGTGAGCACCTGGGTTGTATTTATGCTGCCAGCACTCTAGGCAGCTCAGGAATTGCTAGCACTTGGTCAGCCCCACTAAGGAGACCAGGCCAAGAAATAAACTCCACAGAAGACTAAAACTACTTTTATTAATATGGACTATTAAAGAATCGTGCAAGTCTGATTGTGCTTTACTTCCTCCCCTTCTTATACTCATGTGAATTAGGACGATGTCTGTCTGAGATGTTTTTGCATACCTTCGGTATGATTTGGGCTTAAGCCATGGTTTTCTCCTCATTGAGTTTGTAATAGATCTCTCTGATCTCCATCAAGGTCATCCTCTTTACTCTCTACACACTTTGAAGTCTTAGTAACAGCTTGGTGTTTCCTGGGCTGTTGCTGCCACTTTAATATTGCTCATCACTGTGCCTTCTGCTCCTCCCCAGCATCTTTAGGGCTTCAGCTCTGAAGGCTCTTGTAATCTCTCTTCTTTTTACCCATTCATCTCTCTTCATCCTTGATACCACCCCATTTTTTATTGCAGCCAAGCCCTTTTTAAAGCATTGGCTTGTGGATCTGTGAGGACAGGGTCCTAAAATGAGAGCTGGAGAAGTACACCGTGTGTCCTTCCTTTCAGTGACAGGCAGTTGGACAACAGCTCAGAATGCTTGCTGACATCTCCATTCTAAAGTCCTTTCTCTTCCCTCCTGGTTGCATGACCAGTTGGTATTAAAGTGTTGGGAAGAATTCCAAAAGCTGTGCTCTGCATTCTTTCCCTGCTTTGATCTGTCTTAGTCTTTCCTAAGGTTTTTAAGTACCTTTAATTTCTTTAAAGTCAAAACTCTCGTAGAACTTGCTGGTACAATCCAGAATCTGTTTTTCTTAATGATTGTGTGAGCCACCCCAGTCCTGAGACTGCAAAGCATCCCCAAACTATGAAATTCTTACCACCGTGCTTCATAGTTAATATGAATTTTATTTGGGGGAATGCGGTATTCTGTTTTCTACAAACATGTTTCTCAGCAGTGCTAGAAAGTCCCACTTGTCTTATCTGTCCACAGAACGTTGCTCCAATAGCCAGCTGGATAATCCAGATATTATTCAGCAAATTTGAAACAGGTGGCAAAGTGCTTTGTGGAGAGCAATAGTTCCTCCCATATACCCCATTCTTGTTCAGTGTTTTCCTTGCAATGGACTCACTGACGTCAGCCCATGCCAGAGTGGTCTGAAGATCTTTACTCTTTATTCTTTCCAGCCTTCCACAATATTGTACACCTTTCTTTGGGGTGATTTTTGTTGTACAACCAGTCCTGGAAACAGTAATAATTATGTTGTATCTTTACCAATTTTCTATTATCAGTCTAATCTATCAGTTTTCTATTATCTGGCCAAAGTCTCTGGCAGTATATTGTAGTGCCTTCCAGCTTTGCAAGCATCAACAACGCTTTTTCTGAAGTCCACAAGTTCTCTTTGGATTGGGGCATGATTCAGTTCCACAAATCTGTGTCTGGAAGAGCAGACCCAGATGGTGACAACTAAGGCATGTGTTTGGATTGGAACATGTGACTCGGTTTATCCCTTAAGAGAGCTGATTATCATTGAATTTCACATCCTTCTTATCTATTAAAAGGACTTAGATGATGCTCAGATCACATTGTAGATCATGGTACTGCAGGATCACAAATAGTTGTAAACATTATCTCATATTATCCCTCTTTGAAGTTCATGCTTTTCTTGATCATAGGCTGGCAAATAATTTTGATTTTGCAGACCCCTGAGAGGGTCTTGGGGGATCCCCAGGGGTCCTAGGACTACACTTTAAGAACCACTGCTCTAGATATGATTCTTCCACACATTTTAGATACCTAGCCTTCTAGTATAATTCCCATGATCTTGGAATTATACTATTCACATTATTTATTTATTATCATTATGTGATTCTTATATTCTTGTTCTGACCAGAGGGAACTGAATCCAATGCTTCTTGAAAACATCATATTGAAGAAGGCTAGGTATCTAAAATGTGTGGTAGAATCATATCTAGAGCAGTGGTTCTTAAAGTGTAGTCCTAGGACCCCTGGGGATCCCCCAAGACCCTCTCAGGGGTCTGCAAAATCAAAATTATTTGCCAGCCTATATTGAAAAATTATACAATATTAAAATCCCATTAAATAATTGTGAGAAATGGTAGCAGCCATGAATGCATCAATTTTAACTTTTAATAAGTAAATATCGATAAATG